CTTCTGCAGTTTTGAGCAATTACACCAGGACCAGATGTTCAACAAACTCACTGGAGCCCGAATTAGCACTTACAAGCTTTTTTTCTATAATGCTAATGCCTTTTGGCAAAACTAAATACAACCATTTCATACAGTACAGGCCATCAAAGTACATTGAGAAAGTAAATTTTTAACTGGTGACTGGTAGATGAATTCTATATTTTCTGCTGATGATATTTGGAGCTTTCTAGTGTCCCCAAGATGGTCTTCACTAAGGAATAGATAGTGATAGTCTTAACTAAGGTACAGATTGAAGACAGTGACAAAGACAGAAGTTTTAGGCATACAAAATTTGTTACATTTTGGGTCTTCTTTTCTTTTTTCTTTCACACTTACTGTGGTTTTTACCTGTTTTTCACCACTTTTGTCAAGGGTTATTCAGCTTTTGATTGCTGAGAACTCACAACTGGTTGGTTTTATGATAAGTAATCAACAGCTTCTGCAGGGAAAAATGAACATTTCTAAATTATCTTTCTTTGATAAGAACATGACTCTCTTGGGATCAGATAGTGTCACCAAATTCTTAGACTACTGTTGATGATATTATTCCCGCTGCTCCAAATTTCATACTGACTTTCCCTTTATTTCAGTTTGCATACTGCATCCAGAACAATGAGAAAGTACTTAGACGGCTCATGTGTGTCCATTTTCTCTAACCTCAGGCAACTGTGATCAAGTCTGACACTCCAAATCTGGGTTTAAATTACATTATAATACTGCTTTTAAAGGCAGGCATGCTTTTACATGTCCTGGAAAACAGTCGTACACATTCGTTGATATCTTCTTTCTGAGAGAAAATAACTGGTGTCTGCAGCCCAGACATTACTTTTGAACAATCATAACAAAAAAAGGAAAAATACATGTATGTGGAAGGAAAGGAAACTGCACACAAGAAAATCCTTTACAGAGAAATGGTAGAGTCTGCATGATATTCAAGTTTTTCCTAATAAAGAGACTACAATAAGGTTAAGTTACATATTCTATGAAGATCATATCTGTAGGGTAAGGTAAGTACACTGCTCTTTTTGAGCTGAACTCAGAATATAAACTGGACTCCTGCACTGGGTTATCTGCATGCCTGTAATTATTCTAACTCTCCACTGGATGTCAATACTGCTTAATACAAATGTTGGCTCAGAGTTCGCTGCTTACAGCAGAGCAAGCCCTGCTATTAGAGATGATGACTGTTTAGAGTGTAACTAGGTAAGGGATGTAAGTAGGAGGGCAGGTGGAACCTTTTTGGAGGCAGGCAGAGGACAGCTGTTAATAGCAAAGCTTCCTTCCTTCCCTAAGAAGTCAGGGTTGCAACTGAGTTTCTGTTATATAGCTGACGTTCTGTACCTCTGCAAAACCTCTGCCCTGAACAGGTTGGAAGAAATGGGACCTGGTGTCTAAGATTTCCCTCAAAGATAGATATGGTATCCTAGAATATAGACAGCCCAAAGCCATTGCAAGGCTACCTTCCATTATATACAGCAAGGCGACTGTCTCACAGAGCTCAGGCACTTGAAACCTGGTGCATAAAAGACACAGAGTAAGTTTTCATTAAAAAAAGTTGTTAAGACCACATGACTGTTATTACAGCCAGTATGACTGATTGTCTTGAACAAGCCTTGTTTAAGCTCTGAACTTCCAGGAACTCCCACCCCTTTTGCTCCTACCTCACACTGCCTGGTGCATATGATGCTCTTGCCACTCTGTGTTCCTCAGCAGAGCACAGGTGTGGTGGAGATGATGAAGGGAGAGCCAGTAGCACCAAGACTGCAGAAGCAGAAAAGTTGAAAGTAAGGAGAGAGGAAGAAGAAAATTTCATTGTCCCACAGATACAGGGATTTGGAAGATACCCTGTGTTTCCTCTGAAATCCCAGTGAACTCTTCCTTGCAAGACTTCCATTAAATAATTCTGTGGTGGTCATGCAAAAGAATTTAGTGATTCTCTGTTATCCTCCTGTTGCTGTCAGCACAGGTGAGAACGTGTTGCCTTTTGAAGAGGAGAGGGAAATTGTGCAGATCAAAAATCTGCAGATCAGAAATTGTGCAGACAAAATCTGAGTTATCAGAGTCTAATTTTAAAATTACTATATATATATATATAATATATATATACTTTTTTCAAGAGACTCCAAAAGACAACCAGCTTAGAAAGATACTTTTGGCAGAACAGTTTTTTGTTTTTTTCCCTGTTTTCTTCTCCCCACTACCATATGTAGCAAATAAGATGAAACAAAATGAACAGAAATGGTGTTTCAGTGATTGAGCTCCCAAAGCTGAGCTGATGCCAGTGGCACCCCATGCTTCTGTGAGTTCGCCTAACGATGCCTGTGGTATTTAACTTTCATAAGGATTTAATATTTGACACTGTGACAAGATTTTTTTCCAGGCATGCATGGACTGTTTTTTATACTCTTATTTGGCATATTTATTCAAAATGTACTATATTTAAGATTGCTGTAATCACATACATACATTGGCTACTGGCCACAATGTTCTAGCTATTAATCATACCCCGGAATCCATGGCAGATGTAAAAATTAAGTTTTATTTATCAAACTTACTCATTGGAAATGGCAGCCCAAGAAATTTACTCCTTAGGATTTTGACTTTTCTTGCATACTTCTGGCAATGGGTTCAAGGCTTTAGAAAGGTGTAAATCATTTTATTTTTTTTTTTGCTCAGTCCAGACAGTGTTGGCACAAAACTAAAATTATTTTTCCAGAAATGCAAACCCTTTTGTTTGGATGGCCTTTATATTACTGCCAAATTATACCACCAGTGCTATTTCTTTAACCTAACACTATTTTCCATTATAATCCCATCTTTCAAGAAACAAACCAAAGTTTTCTACTCTTGCAGAAGTTTCAGACCCACAGATATGACTACCTTTCAGCTGAGTTGGGAAAGTAGTCTCCACTGACAGGCCTGGAGAATTGTAGTTGCTTTTTCCGTAAATAAGTAGATGAAAAGGCAACAACCTGATACAGAAAAGCAGGTTCATGAAGAAGATTGTTTCTGTGCTATGACCCACAAAATATCCACCTTTGAGAACCTTGGTATATGGGTTTGCTTACTAAAAACATTGTCTCTGAAAATAACTTGCATGAGTATTGTTTAAGTTGAAGGGTCCCCAGATGATTGTGACGCTGGTTCTGCTATTTGCCAGTATAGGAAGAGCTCCTACAGCCCAAACTTGCTCAAGTTTTCTATTAAAAAGAACAAATTAGGTACAGTAGTGCAGAAAGAAAAGAAAAAGAAAAACTCAGCAAGGCTAGCATTATGGGACAAAAATACATCCACCATATGAGTGTTCTGAGTGCTGCAGATTTGTTCCTGGTTTTGTTTGTTGGGTTTTTTTTTTTTTGCTTGCAAATTGTTTTTGATTTACATGCATTCCTTTTGTATACATATATGGTATATTAAAGTATAAGAACTAAATTAATTCCAATTGTCTTATGCTTGGGCTAAATATATGTAAACCTTATAATGTCTGGGCTTTATTTTATTTGCATTCCAAATGTTGTCATAATACATCTTTCTGTTCTTTGAATGATTATAGAGCACTGCTGGTCTGTAGAGCATGTGATTGTTCAGAAATCAGTTGCTTTGCTAAGCAACTTGTAAACTAGCTCAAACGAAGAACCTATCTGAACAACAGGATGTAAGGGAGAACCCAGTGTGGACACCATGGGAGAGCATGTCACGGTGTTACAGGGACTCCTCCACTAAGAGAGAGCAGGACTTGGGGACCAGGAGGGCTGACCTGGTGCCTGATACTAGAAGGGGTGAATGCTCTGCACCCAGGGAAGAGAAGACTGTCCCATGAACAGTAACTTGGAAAAGTTGCCCCAGTTTGCAGCAAATGTTGTTTAGAAAAATGTATTGGTTGTTTAATCCATGCAGTTCAGGCTGGTGCACTCAGTGCTTCCCAGGCAGGCAGATATCTCCATCACACAAAACTGGCTTTTCCCCCTTGCTGGTGAGATGTGGGCTTATAGGGAAGAGATGGGATGAGGAGGGGAGAAGTCAAGCAGGAGACTCAAGTCTGCATTGTATGTCCCATGGGATGGAGATGTCCTCCACCTGCCTGCCCAGGGCTGCCTTCAGTCAGGGCACGCTGGCCAGGTGGCTGTGTTAAGGGACGGGTTGGTCCCAAGGGTGGTGTGGAAGCTGATAACACCCTGTGCTGTCACATCCTGTAGTCTAACTGCCTGACCATGTGTCTGTAGGAAAGGAGCCTCTGGCAGAGGATAGAACAGAAGCCGAATTTTTCTCTGTATCGCAGGGGGTCCCAACATGTGCTGTGGTGGGTGGAAAGATGGAGGTTCCTTCTGCAAAGTCATGTTCATTTTTTTGTTGTTCATTTTATTTGCCTGTAAAAAAGAACTTTTCCAGTTTCTCACTTCGGTGAGAAAAGCAAGTACAAAGAAAATCTAAATTCAGTTAGCCTGAACCAAACTGGTGTATAATTTGGCCTCCCAGCTGAAATATCGACTATCTGCAAAGCCCTAAAGGAAACCATCGTGTTGATTTGAGGTAGGCTGGTATAAAGCCAACAGTTTCAGTTGACTCCTCCAGACACTAGTGTTAATATCTGTGCAGCTGTTATGAGGGGAAAGATGAGTAGTATCTACCAGGTTCTGTCCCTGACTTGAAAAGTGGTCATACAAATTAATTAGCCATGGCACTGCTAAGCACACTCATTATTTATTTGTTCCTAAATAGTCCTCTCAGGTTTTGTTTTGTAAGTTTTCCTACATTCCTCCTGCTTCAATGTCATGTTTTTTGCCAGCATCCTACTTGTGCTCAAAATGGCTAAGATTTGTTTTCCGAAATGTCAGCATTTCCAGGTGTCAATTTTCTTCCCTTTTCAGATGTAGAAGTGCCAGCGGAAGGTTGGCTCTCTTTTTCTGGCTCTGCTGTGAATTAAGTTCAACCTTTCCTTAAGAAGGTTTGTGTTTCAGAACAGCACATTAAGAAAAAACTTGACCCAAGCCCCCAAACAAGATAGTTGATGGAAGAAAAAAGCTGTCTGCTTAGGCTTGAAAGTTCTTCAAGAGGAGGAATGCAAAGGGACTGAAGAACTCAAACAGTTCTCATCCATGCCCCTTCTCCATGCCAACATATTTCTTTCTTCCAACTTCTGATCGCAAATTAGTAGTTTAGTAACTGACCTTGTAGAGTTTTGGACTATTATTCTATTTGGGTCTGCTTTCACCTAAATAACAACCATCTGGTGGTGTCTCAAATCAGATACGTGTGATGGACTGTGTATAATAACCAGTTCAAGGATTGTCAGGGGAAGGGTTAACATTCTTGCCCTGAGCAGAAGGACCACAGCTGCATGCCGTAAACTTAGCACAGAGATTGTCAGGGTAGAAGGCCTGGGTCAGCTGTAAAGAATTAAGCAAATCCCCCTACTACAAGAAGAGGGAAGAAGAAGAGTGGAATTAAGAAGTCCCTTTCTGTCTTTGTGTTTGGTTCATGGTGAAACAGATATCTGAGAACGTTTGAGGCATACCTCAACCCTTAGCCTCTACACAATTTTTCCTCATGGAAGGTCTTGCACCTTGATCTCACAGAACCTGAGCAATCCATCTTCTGTTCCAGCAATGCGTGAAGTTTGCACAAGGTGTGTGGAAAAGATGTCATGTCAATCTTCAAATTCTCTTGCTATTTTTCTGGAAATCTGTATTCCCCACTTTCAATCTAATGTTGTGTTCCTACAGGAAAGGTGGAAGTTTTACTCTATGTTGAAAAGTTTCCAGTGCAAAACTTTCTTCAAGAGCAAGATTGAAGCATAAAGATGTCTTGTTTTCTCCTAGATGTTGTATGCTTCTTCAGAACAAATAATTTCCAAATGTAGAGTTCAGTGAAAGGTTTATCATAGGGATGTGAGGAAATAGCACATCTTCCTCTTACAAATCATGGGACAGCTGGAAACAAAAGTATGTGTCACAGGATATTAGTGATGGAAAAAAAATTATTAAGGGCTGGTTGACTTTGTATATCCAAAGTCTCTTTTGTGGAGAGTAGGAATGTGAAATACTGGAGCGTCTTGCAGAAAGGAGGCTTCCTCAAAAAGACAAGGCCGAGGATGTTATTACAGCCCGGGACCATGGTAAGCGTATAGTCTGGACTCCTTGTGATGGGCGGGGAAGGCCACATTCTGCTTTCTTGTTTCTGTCTGCTTTCTCAGGTTCTTTGAATTTATTGAGGTGCCAAGGGTTGTTTTTTGAGCTTTGGGCTTTTTCTTTGTTCCTTTTTAGCTGTGGGTTGGAAAGCAATTTTCCTCTATGTATATGTGCTAATGCATGGTATGTGTGTATACATACAACAAATATGCATAGATATAAATATATGTATGTGTATACACACAAAAACATCTTTAAGACTATAAATCTTTATATACTGAATTATGCTAAAGCAGAGCCATATGCTTATCTTTGTAACCATAAAGAATCCCACTGAAATCAGTAAGATTTCTTCCAGCAATAGAGGATGCGTGGGGTTTTGACTCTATCTTGACAGCTCAGAGTAAAGGCTGGCTTTTTTTGTTCTGAGCCCAAATCCAGGCACTTGTTGTTTGTCAGAAGGCTGCTGCTCCTCTTGTGTCTTTGGAGGAATTGCCTGAGGGAGCAGCCACCTACCTGAACCTTTGCTCCTGCCTTTCCTGACTTGTGTGAGTCAATGCTTTATGAACTTACTTGTTTTCTCCATAACTGTTGCTGCACTTGCATGGATCTGAAGCTGCTGTCCATCTGTAAGATTTAAAGCGAGACTCTTGACTTTATCTGCTGTTGACAATGGAAAAAGCAGATTTGTTCTGGCTTTCTATTTTTTGTAGGGGTAGGACTATATTTGATATATGAAAACATTTTTCAAAATGATTAGATCAATCCCTCTGTAATTTGATTTGTTGGGTGGGAGGAGGGGAGATGGAGGGGAAAAAAAAATTGTAGAATGTTTCTCAATAAAACTGCAACAACTAAGACTCCAGACCAACAAACACTTACACATGTGCTTAGCTTCAAGTCTGAGTTAGACCCAAGGGGCCTATATTTGTATTTGATTAATGACAATTATTTGAAGAGAGATGGACTGGGTGGAATCAACTGGAAAAAATATGTAGCTATAAAAATGTATGCTTACTGTAACGTATTTTTATACTGTTTCAGTTCTGTTATATTCTTTTATCTTGCATATTTGGCACACAGCTGTAGAGTTCTGACTTAAGGAAAAGTTTGCACTGTCAAATTCTGTTCAGTTTTAATCAGAAGTGCGCAACTATGTCCCCGTTTGCTAACATGAACCCACGCAAAAACCCTGGTAACACTAGGGAACCTGCAGGCAGGACTGGGACCTTAATTTGAATGAGCTTCAGGGGCTGATCTCCCTCCCTTCCTTCCTCTGGTAGCTCTGGTGAGTTCAGTAGCTCTGACTGTATGGTTAAAAGATTGACCTTACAGCACGAGAGCAGGGTTGCTTAGTTAGAAATCCCCTTAACCCTTGTACGTGTTCCATCTTGTCTGCACACAAACCTGGCTGTTTGCAGCTAGGTGTTTGAGAGCAAAGGCAGGCAGACCCTGTACCTTGAAAATAAGAGCTTATGTGTACGTGGGTGACTGACAAACTTGTGAGGCTGCTTGTATGGGTCCCTGCCTTGATCCTCAGAGCAGCTCTGCTGGAGCCAACAGCTCTGCTGCTGCTCCTGCTGCAGCTTGGACACCTCCCTTAGACCAGCTTTGGGAAGGAGAGCTGTCAGTGCAGGAGATGCATTGCAGCCATCTAATTATCCTCTACTGGAGCGAGGACCTTGTTCCTGATGCCCAATGCTTTCTTTTCCTCTGTTGCAGACAGGAGGAGGAACAGAGCACCTAGACGTGGCATGAGACCTGCTCAGTCTGATTTGCAGCTTAGAAAAGACACTACTTTGAGCTCTAGATCCTACTTTGAGAGCACAACTCAGGTGAAGAAAGCATGAACGTGTCCACTCCTCAGCTGTTGATGCTCCCTTCGTAACAAGTGGTGAGAAACAGCACATGATTCATCTCGGCCTTAAGGTAAGGGTAGGATTTGGGTCTAGACTGGAGGCTGAATCCAGGATTTAAGCCTGTTCATTAAGTGTCTAGTGTGTCAGTGGACATAGTCTTTGCTGTGAAGGGTAGTTGTGCCTTGTAAAGTGAACTGAATCGTTCTCTGGTGTCCAGTGACTGAGTTGAACAGATCTCCATAACTGTTCTGAGAGCTTGGACATATTGCTCTCTCTTAGGTGCCCTTTTCCAGTATGTTTTTCTCAAAACTCAAGTGTCTGAGCTGATCAAGAGAATCAAATCCTGGAAGTACCTATTTATTGCCAGTGTTTTTAAAGGATGGCTGCTAGGAGACACAAACCATCAGGCACCATTTCTGCTCTGGAAGGAGAAACAGCAGTGACAGCTCCCTGGGAAAGGTCCTGCTGAGGCTGAGGGTGCCAGATGAGTTTGGGTTAGGAGAAGAGCAGGCTTTACTGGACTGTTCCTGGCTCAGGCTTATAGCTCCTTCTGGAAGTACTTTTTTAAGTGTATGGGGTTTTCTTATGCAAAATGGAAAGTTGAACTGGCTTAGTTCACTGTAAAATGCCTTCTAGAGTTAGATCCCTAACTCACCCAAGAACTCAAAGAGAAATGCAGATGGGCTTGACTAGCCTAATCCAGAATTACAGGAGATGGGTTAAGGCCACTGATACTGAATGAAGGTAGGCATTGCCCTCAGCACAGCACGCATGCCCTCTAACTTCCAGTGCGCTGAACATCTGTTTTTGATAACACAGATTAGCAGGACTGAAGACATCTCTCTGTTTATTTCCTAGGTTAAACGTTTGAAGTAGAAAGCCATTTTACCATGTGAAATCTGCTCCGAGGAGCCTACATCTCTCTCCTTAGTCATCTGTAAGGAGGTTGCTACCTGACTGTGTTTCAGAGCTAGGACACAGGTCAAGTGAGATGATAAATGTGCCAGCAGGTAAGATCCTTTGTGAAGCTGGCACTTGGCTATGTGTCTAGCTAAACACTCACAAGGGTTAATGCAGCTTGGGTTTGAGCTGCTGCTCCAACCTCAGCCTCAAAATGTCTTCTCCTGTGAACTGCTGGGTACCGCTTTGTGCTGTTTGGACAGCTGCAGATCTCCGCTCCTGAGGGACCTGCAGGCTTGCACTGGGTGAAGTCTTGTATACACAACCACGGTTTTGTGTACTCCTTTGGAATCCATCTGCACAAAAGGCACTGTATAAACAGAAGATCACCAGTGCTGTACAACCAGGATTACATGTCTAAGCTCCATTAACACTATGGTTGCAATAGATTTTACCTTTTTTGTAGTCCTGCATAAATGAAAACCACCGAGACTAAGATAAATATCTACACAAGGCTTGGCCCTTTAGACAGCCCTCCTCTGGACAAAGGTTTGGATTCTGCCACATGTTCTGCTGAACTAAGAGAGTTGGTCAAACTTATATTGTGTTGGGTAAGGCCTACTGGCAAGCACCAGTTTACAGAAATGATGCTGTATCTCTCTCTAGAGCACGAGGTTGTTAGCCACATAAGAAAATTGATTCACAACTCAATATTATAAATTCAGTGGATGTAACAACAGACACAGTAGAAATCATGCTTGCAGTATAACACCTTTGCAGGATACCCTTTGAGGCTTAGGTGAAGAATTTCTCAGCTTCTTCCTTCTGATCCCATTGAGGTATAATTCCTGCCACAAGAGTACAGGGCTACAGCTGGGATGGCTCACCAGAAGAGTTTTGCCTTCCCAGAGCCTGTTGTGCTGTGCCAAAATCATACGCAAATGTCTGGTAGAGACTATTCGATGAACTGTCTGGGAGAGCACAGGAGCCATGGATAAATCATTTAGCAGAGATTGCTACGTTTGGCATGTCAGGGAGATTACTGAATTATAATGGAGGGGGAGAGAGGTTTCAGATTTTAGTTTCTATCAAAATGTTTTTTGTATCTCAATAAAGACTCTACAGTAAACTAACTGAATGGTGTTAGAGTAGCCTAATGTAGTTGGTTTTATATCAATTATTTAGAAACATTCTTGTCTTTAACAACAAATTCCAGAGCCAGGCAGAGAAGCCTGTTCTAGCGCTGTGGCATGCATATATAATGTTAATATATAAACTACTAATGCAGCACTAGCAAGTGTAGTACTAAAAAACTGCATTCCACATATGTTATAAAGTGAGAGTAATTATTGGGCCCTATTGAGTGCAAACTTGTGTAGTTGCCTATGATGACAACCTATCAAAAATGAAAGGTTTGGCTTCCATTTCATCATTTTCCAGCTAGTGGTCTTGTGAGTTTCTGTGCTTGGAGAGCGGAATCTGTGCTGGGGTAAGGATTTGAGCCCCAGACCTCCCTTGTTTTGGGTGCCATTTGAGGGCCTATGTTTTTGGATATTTGGTGGTGGTCCACTGTCTGCAGTTTTGAGCAGAAATTCCATTCTCCAGCAGAGAACTCTTGCCCAATCAGTGTTTCACTGAAGCTGGCACACGCTATGAAAAGCTTTATTTTCAGTGAGCCAGCATTTTCCAAACAAAATCCATTTTGTCTGAAAATTGCCTACTAGCCTTCACCCTGTGCTAGCTGCACATAATCCCTTGTAAAGCATGATCCCAGCCGACAAAGAGGTTCCAGCTGAGGTAGGTATGGGCTGGTAGGTGAGATAACCCTTCTGCACTCCCTCCCATGGTTGCAATGGACTGAGCACTTCTGGCTTTCCTTTGCTTTTACGGCCTGCTTCACGTGGGTGTGCGTGAGGAAAGAGGCCTCTGCTAGCACCAATGCTTCATTAAAGGCATGGCCCATGAGGGTGAAGCAGGGAAGAATCCTGCAGGACACATTACACATGAACTTAATGTAAGACGCGTGCTGCTGTCAAAGCAGTAATTTCTATATGGTAATTAATTTCATAAGTAAGATCAAGGTCTTACCAATCTTTAATGCATAGCCTCTGCTCCAGCATAGGGATTCAATTTTTAAGCTTTTATGCAAAAATAAATGTTTGGATGTACATATATTTTATATATATATATCAATAAAAATGGAAACAAAACAGAATGAAAAGAATTTATTAAAAGAACAATTGTAGGTGAACAACTGAGACAGGTTAATACACTTTAATATAAGCAGCTTGGGAGTCATTTTTGAAAGGAAGAGGGAGGAAACATTTAAACATGTGAATACTAAAGTAATGTTATCAGAAAGGAGTAACTACTTAAGCAGGTTGGGAGCAGGAATAAACAGGTGGAAGATCTGCAAGCTAGGGAAGGGAAAATTCCCATCTGGAAATATCATTGGAAACAAATGGAACTGAACAACTTGCCTCATACATGCATTAAACAGGTGAAATGAGATTAGACAAAATTCAAAAAGGGTAGTTTTTTGCTTATTTAGTTTCCTTTGAAGGTGATGACAAATCTGGTGGTTTCAGTAGCTGGCTTGTGCTGACCCACAGGTGAGCTCTAAAGGTGGAAGGTCTCCTAGCATTGGTACTGAAGGAACAGGATGAGAGGAGATAGGGTTAACAGGCAAAGCCTGACTGGCAGAAACTGGGGCCACATCGTTGTCCCTGTTCCTCCTTTCCACTTCTTCCAAAAGGAGGATTTAACACCAAAACAGTGCTGCAATCTTCACAATCTTCTTAAAGGCTGTTTGTACACAACCTGAAGGCCGGGTTGCATTAAGCTGCAATCCAGAAGCTAGCTCAGTCTTACTGTGAGTGGTATGAAACAAAAGGAGCAGGAGCTGGTATGTGCAACCTTATAACCTTATATTTTTCTGATCGAGAGCAGCCTGATAGCAATGCATGCATATTCATTTCTTCTAATCTCTCTTGAAGGCCATTTACATAACCAGCTAGCTGAGAAATGAAATGTCATCGTGTTATCCTACTGCCTTCGTTCATAAGTATTTTGCCTTAATCGGGTTGGAAAGTTTGTAGTACTGCATGCAGCTGACACCACATTCCAGCAGTGGTGGATTCACACTTTTTCCTCATCACAGGAGGCCCCATACCTCAATGTTATCTTCACCTAAAGAGTCTGCAGTCTGGAAACACTGCAGGCAGAAGCTGCACTAAGCGATGCTCTGCATGGTGAGATTTTGTCACCCCCAAGAAAAAAAACTCACTTTCCTTTCACAATGTGTATGGCTGCATATCAGACCAGCACCTGACATGGGCATCTGATGTTAAATAAGCCTTGGTCAGCATGTATCTGATGGGAGTTACAACTATTTTATTGCCTCAGTTAAAACGATGGTGTTAGAGATGTCAGGTTGCACTTATGTTTGTGTACTTGGCACTATGTAGTGCTAATCACATCAGCATTCCTTATATGTGGCACTAGTTTCTCCAGTTTATGGGATACAAAAACTTGAATCTTGAATATTGCATAGTTATACTTAAATATATTTCCTAAGTCCAGTTTTGGATAGAAAATACTTAAGCCTTTAAAAAAAAAAAAATAAAGTTGATAAACTGGGTTTTGAGCTGGAGGTGAGAGAAACATTTATGTTGCAGATAAGTTTGAGTTTTCTTGGAATCTCATGGCAGGAATATTTCATTGGAATGCCTCTGCTCTGCATATTCAGGGAACATATAATGGGATATAAACGAGTGGAAAAAAGTCATCATGGCACTTTGAGAAGGAAATAATTGCATTTTATTACCCATTTGGGCATCATGAAGCAACTTTACTTCTAGTTTGACCCTTTAGTGTTGCTAACAAGTGTCATTTGGTTAATAAAAATATCATTATCTTTTACTTAAACTGCAACTCTAAGTCTTTATTTGAGCTGGGCAGAAGAAGGAAATTCCATTTCATATAGTACTTGCCATTTCAAATTAGACTTTACTCTGGCTTGGAAATAAAAATAAAATAAATATGAACATCCTCCAGGAGAAGGAATTGAGGGTTGGCCAGAACGTTGTGGGACCCACCTGGCTGGAGGTTGAAGAGCCAAAGCAGAAGGTGGTAGGAAGCCATGCAGCTTTTTCCCTGCAACCATTTTTATTTTGCAAACCTGTGCTTAGCTTTCTTTATGCATTTAAGTACCACCAACTTTCCAGGGATTAAATTCATATTTAAGTTTGAATGGGGATGAATCCAAGAGAGTTCATAAATCTTCTCTTTTGAATGAGGAGGCTGATGGCTGGAAGCCATCACAGCTGTACTGGTGGTGCTCCCCAGGTATGCGTAAGGACATGCGAGGTCTGCCAACCAAGGAAAACACAGGCTCCTTCTACGTGAAAAGGGTTGACTGAAGTTTGGAAGCTACCTCATCGAGTACACTTCTACCAAATAGAACTGATGCAGGAATACCATATGCTAGGCAAGGAAGCTAATCCTAAACGCAGGAGGAGGTTTGCACACAGAGAATGAATCTTGTTTAGGATGGAGTCAATGTACTCTCTGTATTTTAAGATCTACAGGTTGCATATGAAATTCTAACAAAAACAAAGAAAAAAAACACTAAATAGTATCTTAGTGTGACCATTATCCGTCTTTCATTAACACTGAGCAAGGTACCTCTTTAATCTGCTTAGTCTGTGCTGGCTGGAAGCCTGGGAACCAAAGCCTTTACATGCTGGCAGCTCAACAGTCACTACTTCACTACCATCTTGGCTGAGTCAAATTCATTTTTATTAGCAATTAATCTATTGTGTAATATAGGCAGCAGGAGGACATTTCAAAAACAATAAAAGTCTTCAAAGATATATACCCTACTAAAGACATCAAAATATGTTTCATACCTAAGGTATGGATACAAAGAGATTAGAATTGCCTTGAAACTGAAGCATAAAATAGTTGGTCGTTCATAACAGCTACTTCTTTATCTGAGTCTGCTAAGGTGACCAGGAAGAAACTGGGTTTTTATTTACATATTATTAAAATCAAACTCACAATATGCGTCATGTCATGAAAATTCTGTGATAATAGTGCTTACAGATATATATAGTCAAGAATTTCTTTTGATTTCATGTCAACACTTGATACACTTTAAAACGTATTAAAAGAATGTTATTGCACCAAGGTAAGGACAATGAAAGGCTGAATAAAATACTTTGAATGTGAAGAAATTTTTTTCTGTCTTTGTGCATATGCAATTTCCAAAGCCTTATGAACTAAAAAAATAAAAAAAAAGATATTCAACAGACCAATTAAAAGTACAGTTTGGAGTTAATTAAATCTATTCACAGATTTCTGCTGACAAATAGTGTTTCTTGAAACCACAGATAAAGAAAACAGAATATTTTTAAAAGATGGTATGCTTCATTTTCTACTTCTTGTACTAGATTTCTGTGTTGTTATTGTTATTACTGTTCATGTTTCAAAAAATTATTCCTGAAAATCTTGAAACATAATTTTTACTTCATTTCAGTGAGTAAACTAAGGGACCTCATTTGCACGACAACTTGTAGGTTCAGTGCTTGAATTGTTTTACATAAAAAGCTGGACTTTTTGTTTAATGATATTCTTCCTGAACAGTACGAGGGAAAAATGTGAACTTTTCCTTGATAAAGCATGTCCAAATTGAGCAGTTTGTGGAGTGTTGATCAAAACCAGAACACTTCAGTTAAAATAAACTAAGACAGTGGATTAGGAAAGAAGTAGTGTGAATACCCCCTATTTCTCCTCCACACAGCTGCCTTCCCCAGCTGAGCTATGTTCCTGCCTTGCACTGCAGCCAGGAGGATTTTCAAAACACAGCCCAACCTGGGTGATGGTGGGACCATCCTCCTTCCTGGGAGCAACAGTCTCAGTCTCATGGCAGAGGTGAAATCACACAGCTGTTGGGATATTCTAGGGAAAACAAAAAAACAAAACAAAACAAACAAACAAACAAACAAACAAAAACAAACAAAAGAATACAAGAAGTGGGCTATCTTCTCAACAGCTAAAGAGGACCAACAAGCTGGCATAATTATCTGCACTTCAGCTGAGTAGTGTGTATTTACTGTGTATTGCTCCTGTA